TGTAATTTAATTTTCATGTAAATAATCATTAATAAAGGGGATTAAATATTTAAACTATTAATTCTTATTATGTTATCTTCATCATAGGGTACCGATTTAGGGCGTTGTAGGGGTGCTTAATACCTTCCCTACACGTAACCGACCCCCGAACCCAATTCTGGTTATCAAGGCCATTATTGGACTTTTAAAAACCTTTTCTTTTTCCAATGTTTTGAGTAAAACATTGGTGACGACTCCATGAACCTATTTTCAAAACCATTAATTAAGGATTAGTCTGGTGTCCGGACATTCCTTAATTGATGAGATTTTCAAAAGGATGTCTAAACCATAGGTCGCGAGATCGGAAATTTTTGGGTTGCGACAACAATCAACCAAAGCAAAACTGAGCACAATTGCTTATAATTGAGAAATAAGATGAAAAAAAAACAAACCAAAGTTGTTACTACAAGACGCTCTTCTTCCATTCCAGACTTCCTTTCAACAATCCAACCACTGAATATGAAATGCCACATCTTATGAACATGCTATCCAAAAATCAGCATGATCCAATGGTAAACAAATCTCCCGTTGTAATTCAACAAATATTGCTTGGTGGATATGCAACCTGTAACTTTCTTTCTTCTCTTTTCTTTATATTTTGTTGATGTTTTTCAAATTAAGTCACTCTCTCTTTACCCTAATCTGACCCCTCTCCACTTGATTAAGTGAGACATAATGGGCTTACACAATTTGGACCTATTCTTCACATAGGAAGGGAGCCTAAAACCCAACAATAATAACCATTACCAATGTCCACTAACTGAAAGTTGGCTCACGAATAACAAGAAAGGAAATTATTTTGCCCAAAAACTTTACCACAAGAGCACATTCCATGGGGCACATAAATCTTCAAAAACAAACTTGTCTTAAGGCAATTACCATCCTCATACTCAATATAGGCTAAATTTTGTTTTATGAGATCAACCATAGGTCGCATATGTGGAATTGACTTGTCACCCACGAACATGTCCTAAAAGAAGGGATGAGAAAGACGTAGGGGAAACGAATTACCACCTTCATCAGGTGGTTCTTTATTGAAGTTGTGACTATTCATCAAACCTATAGAGAAGACGAAGTCGTGAACCATTTGGAATAGTCTCTAGGTCTTTCACTCAAGATTTTCCTTGAATCAATTTTTTTTTTGTCGATCTTATTGCAGACTCATCAATTGATGCGGTCAATGGAGTCATATAAATAAAAATAAATAAAGAAAAAAAAAAGCCTTTGGTTTTTGAATTATGATATTTAACAATCCCAAATTCTTTCCCAATGGAAACATGTTGAACTTTTCTATCTTAGCATTCATAGATCCCAAGAATGGTTCTAAGGTCAAGCTAGACTTTGAATATATATATATATATATATATATATATATATATATATATATGTGTGTGTGTGTGTGTGTGTGTGTGTGTGTGTGTGTGTTGGAAAATGATTTCCTCACTTTGAATGTGCTTGTTCATCAGCCTAAACCACTAGCCTACCTCGGCCAGCCATTCTTCTATAAACCATTTTTGAAAAAATCCTTTCTAACAAAACTTTTACAAAAAAATATATGTATATATCTCCTTCCTCTCATTCCTTTTGACCTACATGGCATTAAGATAAATTTGAAAGATACACGGAATATGCACAGTGAACACTCACAAGGAAAAGATGGAGGTGTCCGAGAATAGAGTCTAGGTACACCTGATCTAAGGGCTAACATATCATATTCGGTACAAGCGAGAGGGTCGAACTACACAAACCTCAGGTTCAAAAAAAGCAACACTAAATTCAACACAGCTAAAAGGCTAACAATGCATGTCATTGATCAATGCGCATAGATTAATTTCTTGAAAGTAAAATCAATCTGCATTTAAGCATTAGCATAGAGGCATCATTGCATAGCATGCATAGGGCACAAGTGTGCACAAAAGGGTATAACTTCACTTTACAAAAATAAATAAATAAATAAATAAATATAATAAAAAAATCCAATCCATTCCTATCTTGCATTTTCATGTGCATCCATGCATCCATACTCACCATGGGGCATCCGTCAACAATCAAACAATCAATCATCAATAAATCAAAAGGACTCCGCAACAAGCGCCTGGAGAGGCATCACAATACTTACACGACAGGAGCAGCACCAGAATTCCCGTCACCCATCCACTTTGCCCACAACACAGGGGCACATCAAACATCTCCTGCCCATCCACCTAGGGGAAGTCTTTCATCCCACAACACCAACAAGAAAAGCCAAAAAGGAAACACAAATTCCAATTGACAGCATTTGAACAAAAGACAAAAGCATCCCAAATTAGAGGCATCGCGACACACCTCCTGCCCAACATCCTTGGGGCAATATCTACCAAAATTCAAGCAAACCAATGAGGGCATCGAAAATTTCCTCAAAATACAACAAAGGTCTGGAGAGACTGTACTCGCATCCCAATCCGGTATACGACAAAGCCGTGAGGGAAAGGTCTGGAGAGACTGTAGTCATCTCCCAATCCGGTATTCGACAAAGCCGTGAGGGAAGCTGAGCTACAAAAATACTCCCTCTTCAACAAGTTACAAATAAAAGAACGCACTATCACAAGAGAAACAATGGAGCATCTACTTGAAGATCGAAGATCAAGTGTACAGTTTGTCAGCCTTGTTACCCAATAGAGTATGCAACCAACACTCAACTGCTCTAAAGGGCGAGGACACGAGCAAATACACCTATCCAAGAGAAGGAACGTAGAAGCGCCAACACCAAAGAGATGAAGAGGAGACCCAGATGAAATGTCTACATCTTTACTTGCCTTTGGAAAAGCAACACATAGCTACTCCAAAGGACAAGTAAAGAGGGGAAGCTGTAGACACCCAATTTCGTCCAGGGGCACACAAACAAAGAAATGGACCTCCGTTATGAACGGAAGGAGCTTCCGAAGCAGGCAAACAACAAGACAGGACATCAGAAGGCCTAAAGGCCAAATAAGGTGGTTTTAGTAGCCCGAAACGGGCTGTTCCAAAATCGGAACGGGCCGTTCTAAACTCAGAACGGGCCGTTCCAAAATCAGAATGGGCCGTTCTGAACCCCGGAACAGGCCATTCCAATATCTGAACGGGCCGTTCCAATGCAACTAAAAACACCTAAAGTGACTTGGGTGGAACGGGCCGTTCCAATACCAGAACGGGCCGTTCCAAACAAGGCAAATTTGGAATGGGCCGTTCTGGAAAAGGAAAATTTGTGTTAATTTCTACTCTGGAACAGGCCGTTCCATTTTTAGAACGGTCCGTTCCAGGGTACGAAATTTGCACATAACAATTGGGCCAGAACGGGCCATTTTGAATCTGGAACAGGCCGTTCTGGCCCCTTCTGATTCCTATAAATAGAAGCTTTGGGCACAATTCTCAGGGCAGCAGAGAAATTTTGAATAAGACTCCTTTGAGCACGAAAATTCTCTATCTCTCTCCTTTCTATTGTATTTCTTGAGATTTGTGTCGCATCTCTATCCTCACTCTCCCTCTTATTGTATTTCTTGAGATTTGTGAGACATACTGTAGTGTGAAAGGTAGCCACAAAACACCTTTTCCATATTTGAAGATTCAATAAAGCTTGTTCAAGAGGTATTTCAGTCAATCTTTTTCTCTTCCTTTTATTCCTCATCTTTATCT